TCTGTACATTTGAGGTTACATAAGAACAGGAGCAAAAAATGCTTCCTTTACAAGGGATTTTCTAATTCCTTTTAAAAACGGCAATCGGCGTCATTCCTACTGTTTTGTTGTCTTTGCTTATTCCCTTCCAGATATCAACACTTCCCAGTGCAAAGTTCTGCTGAAAGGAGTTCAGCGCCAACTCTTCCTTTGTTTAAGTAGTGCCCTCAATAAAGTTTCTAAAAACCATTTGGTCTATAACATTTTTAATGGCGAACCTTTTAAAAACTGCCAAAAACATCTTGGCAGAAGAGAAAGTTATGATGATGAGAAAAGGAAAAAAAAAAACCCAACACAAAAAAACCCCCTCTGACCATAGTTTACATAAGTGTATCCACATATTGTTGTATTTCATACAAGTAGTGAATTCTAATAAAGTCTGGAATAACACACACACATGCTCAACACATTTTATTTCAGTTGTGTATTATGAAGGAAAACAAAACCAAACCCTAACCTGAAAATGGAAGGAGAAAAGAATTACATGTATAAAAGCAGAAGACTGTATAAACAAGGCCATTAATTCTGCTATAAACAACTGACCTAACGTTGATTACATAAATAGAAAGTGTAATTCTAGTGCGAGACAAATTCACCAAACACTTCTACCCTCTCTGCAGCCTTGATATGAGAAAAAACAAACATTTTCAAGTGTTACAATGAAATCTGCCAAAATTGTCTGTTTTGTACTTCTCATGTTCATTAAACCCCAAATTCACAAGGCCTATCTCTTGCCCAACCTCAGTTATTTTGTCTGAGCTGTGCCAAAAGGGAACAGAGAAGAAGTTGGCCAAGGGAGACATTCTTGGCTAATCATTTATGCAAACTCACTTTGGGAAAACTTAAATTTAACATTTTAAAGAAACCCACAGATGCATAAATTATTCTCTTTAGGAAACAAAGCACCGCCAAAGCCTCTCTTTGTAAACTATTTGACCTTGTAATTTTCATGAGAGGAAAAATTAGTGTTTCTGAAATAAAAAGAATTTCATGACTACTGGAGCTAACATTTCTGTCACTCAGGAAAATTCCTTACAATTGAACTGTTCCTGCTCAGGAAGAACGTATTTTGTTTAGTCTGTTTGGGAATGTTTTAAGACCGTAACTACTACCGAAGCATTATGTGGAGTGCAAAGCAAATGAGGTTATGGAGCATAAGCTGAGAGTGTGCTCGCACAGCAATAGCAATCCTTAAAATATGTTCCACTGCGTAAGGGCCTGAGCTCATCAGCCACCAAAATTTGCCCGTGAAATGCTCACCATTCTCATCCCTCACCCAGGACTCGTTAGGAATGAAGACACACGAGTTTCTCCAGTTAAAGATACATCTGGAGACATGCTGCACGTGAATTGCTACCTCCCCTCACTCCTGGAGCTTCATTTGCACCCTCCCAGCTACTTGGATTAGGGTACTACAGGTTTGGATTCGGGTGGAAAACACTCAGAAGTTAAAATGCTTACAACCAACTAATGCCAGAGAGATTTACCCTCAAACCTCTCAGACTTCACTGAAATTTAAGTCGGTAAAAATCAGCAGCTCTGTAATCTGGACCTGCACAACTATTAAGCAAAACTGAAAATGAAAACTGCATTAGCAAGCTTGTACCCTTTTAGGAGGGCTTTTTTTTTTTTTTTCAGTCAATTTACAGTCTTATCAGAAATATCAAGCATGACAATTTCTATTACATCAAACATACTCCACTGAATTAAATAATCTGTATTTACTGCCTGACAGTGAAGAGGAGTACCAGACCTATCACAACCCATCCTAATAATCGCCATTGGCATCCAGGTATTTTAAAATGTCAGTTGGCAAAGAACGATGCACTTAATGTTGCTCGCTGTAACTGAAGTTGGAACAAAACGAAATTTGTGAGCAACTAGCTTCAGAATTTCATTAAAATTAGGAAGCCAGAGATGGCAACTTCTTTCACAAGGAGTCGAATATTTTTATCCTTGCTTCCCATTTGCCTTTCTTTGTACTGTCTTGGATCCTTCCACTGCAGCCGATAAGCAGAACTGGTGTTATTTCTACCCCGAGAGTGAAATATTATCCACTGCTTCAGTAAAAAGAAGTGTTGCTGAAGAACATAGTTGCTTTTAATTTTCCATTTGTACTGACACTAGTGTCAGAAAACACAGCTGAACCTCCCTCCTCTTTTTAACCCCTACATGTGGTAGTGGTTAACACTTTGGGTTTCAATAAATACACAACTTGCATGTAAGTGGGTTTTAGATTTGTATTGTAAATTGTATGTTGTAAACTACCTTCGTGCAAGTCTCTCTGGAGGCCAACAACACTTCTTCAAACCATCTAAAGAGTCAAGTTGTAAGATGCAGAAAAGGCAGACTCAGATGGAAAGGACCTGTCTCCTACAAGGAAGTCTCAACTGAGGGGAAAAAAACCTCCAAAACCTCTGTGGCCAGAAATCGTAGAAACTGTAGTTGCACAACCAGGGTAGAAACCTCAAAAAGTCCCTTGTCTTACTATTCCCACTGTCCCCTCTACATTTTCCGCATATAAGGAGAAGAAAAAGAGTCTTCGGGACTGGGAAGGAGAGTTTAAGCTCTGTATCTTGCCCTATAAACAGAGCCTGTTCCCAAGACTTCCCACATGCCAGCATATTGATATATGGAGAATTCTCCCAAAGACAGGAAAATTCTTCTTCTTTCTTCCCTCTCCTAACCCAGTAAACATTTATCATGATTTATATATTCGTATCTTCATATGTATTAGCAGTATTTACACATAATATTTAGCATCTACACAGAATGATACGCTTTGCCATACGAGACAGCTTCTAGACTTGTTTTACCCTTATAAAATGTGTCTACTATTCACAGGGTACCACAGAGGTCCCACAGCTTTGCAAGCACAAGAGCCTGTCACCAAAACAAACCACGCAACCCAACCTGTTTCTTTCCCATTATTCACAAAAAAAGCAGGTCTTTTTTTTTTTTTTTTTTTTTTTCCCCCTGACCTGCTAATGTAATTTGGGTTTTACTGTGGTTCCCTTCAGGAATGCGTGCTGGCTCCTTGAAAGGACAAGTCGGTGGGAACTGTAACGCTGCCCCGACTGCTCCGCAGCAGGAAAAGGCAGGGGGAGAAGCTCCCCCGAGAGCTGCGAGCACACGCCAGCTCGCGCGGGTCCAGGAGACAGGCTGACTCCGCGGGCTTCAGGCGGCGGTGACAGCCCAGCGCCTTCACCGCTTGCAGGAACGCTGTCTGTAAATACATGGCTGCTGCAGCCCCTGGGGCTTTTGGTCCTAGGCTCTTCCACGGGAGAGGCAGACACAGGCTGCTGGCGGGCAAGGGGGGTTTTGGGTGGCTGGGGGCAGTGGGAGGATGAGGATGCACGCAGTCACCCGCTGGGCAGCCCACAGTCAGCTGTGTCGGTCATTTACGACCTAATCCAGATGATAGTAAGTGACCTAAAAAGATCTGATGTATTTTCCCTCTCCTTTATAAAGTCCCAAACAGCTAATTTTTAGAGTGCTTTTCGCTCATTTTTCCAACGAGATAAAAATAACAAAACCAGCCATAAAAACAGATACCATTGTATTTATCTTTTTCATGTGTAGTAATATACAACGAGGAGGCAACCGGGGCGATTCTCCTGGATCTCGGCAGAACATTTGCTCATGCACATTACCAGCTGTTTCATCTCTAATTAAAAAGATCTGGAGCTGGCTAGATATGATTCCTGTTTAGTACCTAAGAGTCCGTTTTAATCCATGCGTGAGCAGTTTCTTGCCCTGAATTAGTAGTGATGGATGGAGAAATGAAAAAAGGCCAGGATTCACTAATGATTACCTACCATTTGTTAAGTATATATGTTGTTCATGACAACACAGTATGTACGCTTGATTCTGAAATATTGCTATAGGCCAAAGATTTACAGAAGTGCTTTTATAGTCTTCAAAATGGCATTATGAAAGTAAATTACTTATGAATAATAAGAAAACTAACAGCATTATCTGGCATAAATAAGAAAGTTCACCATCTGGTGTTTTTAAAATTAAAACCTTTGATGGTAATTACTTAGAATGCAACAAGAGTTTCCAAAATTTGGATTTTTGGCATGATTGTCTCTAGAAATTTAGCACTCACATAAGTAATTAAGACTATAAATCTTACACTGGTTTGATTATGAATGATGAGTCACTGTCTCACAATTACACCAGGAGACGAGGCTGCCAAACTTGTCCATTTATCGATACATGCTTACAGAGCACTGGTTTAGGGCAATCTTAAGTAAAGTGTTATAACAATGTAAAATTATTTGCTCTAGCAGCATAAATTGTGATCATTGTTATTGTTTTCCTGGCGCCTGAAGATGGATTTGGGATTGGACATTTAACTGATGTAATCTAAGATTAAGCGGCAGAGCTCTCTTTGGAGCCTCTAGCCTGCAGAAATAGTCTGGCTGGAGTTATTAAAGTCCTTGTACGCTCCGAGCAAGATTTTTGCCCGTAGTGTAGCTCGCTGTATGTATTATATGCAATGTGTAAAATAGGTTTTCAATATACTACAACCTAAATAGAGGAAGAAGCAGCATCAAGTCCTCCAAAATCCTTACGCCAGAGAGGATTCCTTAGAGCAAGTTGTCTGGACCTAGATTTTTAAAGGTGTTTAGGCACTGCTGCACTCCATTTATTTATTTATTTTTTAGCATCTAAGTAGCTGAACAGTGAATAGTCACCAAATATGGATAATCTTTCAAATGAAGGCCCTGGTATGTTTTGGAACCTTGTGCTAAAACCTGCACTAATTTTGGTTACATGTTCACTGTAGTTTGAAATGTGGTTTGTTGCATTTATCAAGCACATACACAGTTGTCATGCTTTGAGACAGGTGATAAGGGTTTCTGCTTTCTATTTTTATGGGCTTTTCATCAGTCACAGCATTATTTCTATATTTTTAAAGGCAAGTTCACCTTTTTGAGAAGTTTCCCTTAGGGTGATCATTTTTCCAGCAATAAACACAATATTCTCCTTGTGGTTTCACAGTATCCCACGCAGCAGACAATACCCAGTTTCACATGCAATAAAAATAAGCAGGAAGCCTGTACTCACCCACTTGCCCATGTTGGGGTAGTCATGCTCTGGATCAAAAAGGTGTTGGTGCAGCTGGTATTCCCTG